AAAGATTGTGTGACAATTTTATACTTTGTCTGAGAGAAATAAATGAATGTCAGAGATATCGTCCATCGTCTATCGTCTATCGTCCAGAGTCCACCGTCTGGGTTTTAGCACATGCCCATCGAATCTTATCTTCGCACAAATCCAGCAGCAATGATTAATTAATTTATGTAGTCATACTACAAAATGCCAAATGAGTTGAAGATGGACAGCATTATATATATTTTTATAATGGCAGTGCAATTAACCCATCCGCTGCGAAATATATCTAAAAGCGCATTTCTGTAATACCATCAGTTAAAGACGGATTTCTGCCTCCCTGACCCCATTTGAATTTTAGTAATGTAAACTGAAGAATCGAGTCTTGTGTCACGCATTGTGTTATGCATTCATTCTGCCCAGTGCGTACGAACACCTGCCTTTGGTAACCAAGAATAAGAAGGCCATCCGGTTCTAAAGCTCTGTCCAGCGGTTTGGCAAGTTAACGAGGTTTGCTTTTATGTTGTTACGAGAGAGGAATGTTGCACTACCATGCACTGCTCTATTTAGCATATCAATCGAGAGGCTTTAGTCTTGTAAACACTAGCTTCCGGCACAGTAGACGTTTGTGCTAAGTATTTGATGCTTAAACGCCACTGATATGGTACACATTCGCGAGGACACGATATAATTGAAAGGCCTCGTATTATCTCCCGGGGGCGATATGCTGTAAACATAATTGACTAGAACTAGTACCGTAGCTATAATAAGCATCTGAAACTATAGGGTGGTTCAATATTTTGTGCAGATAGTGCCCGAGTAACGTCAAGAAAACCCGTCTTGCATAAAAGGCCCATTATAAGGCCTAGTCATGGGCATAAAGAAAAGGGATCGAGTTCCTTCAATAACGTAAAGTATGCATAAAATTCTTCAGATTTGTCTTTCTTTCATGAAACTTCAATATTAGCCAATATTTTTATTGTTTCCCCATTGTATTTATTTGGTTGCCTGCTCCATCGTTTCAAGTAGAAACGACGGCACGAATGACCCCCCACTGATACCCTTTTACTCTCAGTTCTTAGAGCAAATTGTTTATCAGTTCACACCAGTCCTGTACAGTTGATACATGTTTTGGATAGCCAGAACTTATCCAAGTCTACTTTGTATCGTTGTATATCGCAGAGCTTACATCAACTAGCGTTTGGCTTACAGAAGAGATGAAGAAATCGCTTAAAGGAAGCAAATAAACTGCATACATTCCACGCGTGTTTTCCATGCAAGTAGACGTGTGAGCCTGATCACTTGTAACGCACCAGGAGAAAGCTTAGGCATATGCCTGTGGCAATATGAAATCATTCTGGTGCTAGAAGAACAACTATTATATTACAAGCACGATCCTTCCTTTAAGCGATTTCTTCATCTCTTCTGTGAGCCAAACGCTGGTTGATGGAAGCTCTGCGATATACAACGATACAAAGTAGACTTTGGATAAGTTCTGGCTATCCAAAACATACATCAACTGTACAGGGCTGGTTTTCGCCTTTTATTTGTGGTTGAATGCCGAAAAGGGAACTCATTGAAATCGATAACAGCCGCAATAAAGCGATATGACGCTTCAAGATGTTGCCATGCGAGCAGATGTCTGTAATGCATGAAAATGCTAGCCAATACATTTCGATAGTGGGCTTTTAAAAGCGTTCAATTTCATCCCAGCAGGGTTTATTACCTTCAGTGTTAGTAATTAACAGTACTATACCAGAAGAAGTCTTAGAAGTTCGTTTTTATGTTTTTATTTAGTTATTTATTTATTTATTTATTTATTTATTTAAAACAAAACGGAAAAAAACTACTTACATTACTATTGCTAAAAGCTGCAATACAATACTGGGTACTGACGTACATTAATTACAATACCATACTCTACTCTTACAATACTTACACTGCATACAATGAGACGCTTACACGACATCATCTCCAAATAATTAATGACATTACTTACAGTACTTTTTAATATTCATTTACTTATCTATTTGTGTAATTTACAACACACCAGCAGTGCCTCAGCGTACTAATATATCAGAGAGAAGAAAAAACGGAGAAAAAAAAAAAAAATACAAACATTGAAAATCATTGAAAGAGTGACGAAAAAGGAGAGCTATTTGCATGGTTTTGCTAGTGTGATGTAAATTAAGGAATTGTTTTCGTTGTATCGTGTAATGTGAGAGGAAGAGGGAGAAGTCTTTTATCCTGGGGGAAATATTGCACAGGTTGCATACCCGGATAAAAAGAGCCTGGCGATCAAAAAGTAGAAGTTCTCTTGTTATTGTTTGCATTCACCCTAATATTAGGTATGGCGTTAAGCTAATAGTATTTGAAAGTTCTTCATGGTCAACTGCCCATTGCTTAAGACCTCGCCCAAAATGGTGGACAGGTTCCAAGTCCAGAAGAAGTGTTTCAGAATCTCCCAATCACTCTGGCAAAAAGTGCACCGCTCATTATCCTTTAGATTTATTTTTGCCAGAAAAACTATTGCATGGTCGCTGATTGCCTTTGAAGTAACTTAGTTAAATTGTAGGACAGTACAAGTGGAGACGATTAGTTCTGAAATCTTTGTGTATAAAAAAAGGTGTACCATAAACTGTGTTCAGTTGATGTTTTCTTCGGGTTTCGAGCATGAAATCTGCAATCCAGGTGTACTATAAAATGAAGACTCGGTGAATTATTTCCATGAGGCTCAGTGAACTTGCCCTGAAAAATTACATCTAAAAATATTCAGACAAGTCACAGAGATATTCCGAATAATTGTCAATTATAAGTTGCAAGTATTGAAAATTACTTTTATGGATTGGAAGTTCTAGCTATTTCGATTTTTCGGCTGTGTTTTTACGAGTCAGTTTTTACTTTTTTGAAGTCTTTAGCCAGCAAATGTAACGAGCGGTTCCGAACGGAAAGTGCGAAGTCAGAAAGCTTGACTTAATTATAAATAGTCGAACGCCGTAAACATCGCTTTCCTGAAAAATAATGAGT